CCCCGCAGATATCCCTTTCCCAAATATTTCCCACAGTGAGTCAGAACCAGTCGGTCAGACTCAAAAACCATTTTTATTCCAACCTTATTAAGAAGGCCTCCGGAAATCAGGTTTCTACGAAGGGAGGGAACAAAAAGCACATTTTGCAGCAATATTAACTCTATTTTTCCTCTACCACTTACCTTAGAGATGCTGGAGTTTCCCATAAACACTTGTTCTTCTCCAGTGTTCAGCTCAAGCACTTTAAACAGGTCCTTGTTGTTGCAGAAGTGGCGAGAGGCTCCGGTGTCCACGACCCATTCATCTGGATCACCAACCATGTTCACCTCGGTTATCACAGCTGCTACCATGTCTGTGTTCTCCGTGTTTTCCAGCAAGTGAGCCTGGTTGTTTGACCCTTCACCGTTTGGCTTCTGACCAGCTTAACTGGCGGACCATTTCCTGTGATAGCATTGTGCAGCCCGGTGACCTCGTTTTCCACACACGTAGCACTCGTTACTATTTTTTCCTTTCTTTTGATTTTTTCCCCCTTTGCCACGATTGTTGCCATTTGGTTTTGAGTTCCGTTTTTGATTTCTAGAACTTTCACCAGATTTTGGCCTTTCAGAACCAGCAACAGTTTCAACCACATTAGCCTTAGCATTATCAGAAAGAACACCTGACCTTTGTACCATGCGGTTTTCTTCTTCAATGTTGAGGCTGTTGATCAGTTGCTGCAGGGTATAGTTGGTTCGATCATGCTTCATTTTGTTCTTGAAGTCCACCCAAGAGTCAGGTAGTTTATCAATAAGCGAATCGCACAGAACGAAATCGTTCACTTCGCCCCCTTCTGCTTTCATGTCAGCAACAAGGTTTTCAAATTCGTGTACCTGTTCAGTGATTGATTTGGAGTCATTCATAGTAAAATGCAGCCAGCGTCCCATTGCATACTTTCTCCTTCCAACGTTGTATGATGCATACTTTTCTTGCATTAAGTCCCAAATCTTTTTTGCGGACTTATGCGGCGAGTACATGTCGAACAGCGGATCAGTCACCCGCTGGAGCATAATGGACCTGGCTAGTTTGTTGTCCTTCTCGTATTGTTTACGAGCTTGTTTTGAAACTGAAGCAGCACCTGCTGTAGTTGTCTTTGACGCAATGGAGGAGTCAGCTGTTGCCTCTTTCTCTTTCGTTGCAGATTGCGTCGTCACCTCGGGTGCAGTTGCAGAATAGAGCGCAGGATCCACATCGATAACGTAGTCCACGTCTTTGGAATCCAACTCCATCAAGATCTTGCCAGCCCACCTTCTGTAATTTAAACCACCAGTGAGTGGTTCTATGGAAGTAACAGAAGACGAGAGGATTGCAGACATAGACATAGCTGTATATATGTAAATGTTTTTAACTGTTGGTTTTTTTCGAAACCAGATGATTCCTGGAAACAGCAAAGTCGATTCTGCAAACAGGGATTATGTGGGCGAATATATATAGTAGGTAGAATCTGTGTCGTGTTTGGTTAACACTGCCTTAAAAACATTTACACCCAGGGTAGTGCATGTTTTCGACATACTCACAGATAAGCGCAGTATTTCTGCGTAAATGATCTCAGGCCAAGCTTTTAGCGCGTGTATTTCAACTGGAAGAGGAAGGCTTATTATATAGCTATAAACATAACAACCTGTGCATTGCCATCCAGAACGTAAAGAGAGAAATGTGGAGAGAGACCAGGAAGTTGTGTCCACGTTCACAAATGTTATACATTGTGCGGACAAGGTGGTCAAACATTCCTTAAAAATAGGGATAAAAATAATAGTGGGTTGCAACGTTGCAAAACGTGACCACACCGCGAACCGAACCGAGCGGGTGGCAGCGGCGTGCCCGGGATTTCCCCCTTACTCCCTCTCCATAACACTTCAAGTCTTCTAAAAACACTTGGTATATAAAAAGTGGGAAAGAGTAGGCTAGCCAAGCAATGTGGGACATGGAGAAAAAGACAAAACCAATGAATGCCTCATTAAATGTTCTAACAATCCCCCACACATTTAAGGTGGTAAGGCTAGACCCACTCACGCCTGAGTCTGCGCAGGAGCTAACTTTCATATCAGTGTATTAAACTTGAACTGACATGTAGTGGTATTAAGTAACTTGTTACCGATGAGTGAATTGAATCTTGAACTCTCCGGTTAGTAGAATATCTTGTTGAACCTTCCAAAACAATATACATAATAATAATAATAAAATAAGAGCCAATAAAACTGTGGAATAGAACTTAACAAGAAACTCTAGGGAAAATGGGGCTACAAAATTCAAGCACGCGAAAAGATAAGAAATTTGTTCAAAATGGAATTCTAAATTTAAAGAATGAAATTCAACAATGACGAGTAAGACTGCAGATGAATATCTTTGAATAATGGCTGCGAGTTTCGCTCCTCACACAAAAAAATATTATGTGAAATTTTTATTTATTTAGGTCGAGTGCGTGCATTTTAATATATTATTGTCAACGGTAGTTAATAATTTGTGAATATATATAATTTAATGATTAAGTGCATAAAATATTTAATGGTACCCGGGTTGGACTTCCATTTAGAAGATTATGAGTTCGAGCCTCAGTGGAGGCGTTATTTGTTCTTTGTGTTCAAATACGAATAAATTTGTTAAACAACAATATGCTAACTAACATTAAATAATTATTATTCCAAATAAACAACTATACCAACTAACATTAACGATTTTTTTAGCAAATGTATTCGTCCTTAGTAATTAACATAACTATTAAACAACTACATCATTACAAATGGAAGGTAACTAAACACAAAAAAAAGCAATTCTAGGATTTGAACTGCTGACCTTTCACTTAAATTATAAGGTCAAATAATGGCCTAAACATCTCAGCCAAGCCTAACTTAGCTTAATTGTTGGTATGTTTAATATATATTCAGTTTATATGGAGTATGGCTCCGCCACTGTTTGTGTTTCAGTAGGTTGAGAAAGTATATGAACAGATACTACAATGTAATAGGGTCAGTAACATTCAAAAAAAAAAATTGCATAAAATATTTAACTTTTATTCAGTGCATATTGCTAGAACAGGCTGATTCAACATTTTATATATCAACCAAAATGATCATTTTTAAATTTTATTGCTGCTTATACTTGATGCAGAGATTAGTGAGAACTTCCACAGCGTCATCAATTGTTTAACTTTTGCCCTCAATTCTTTAGGTTTTTAATTAACTTTCCGCTACTGTTCTAAGAGGAACGACCGCGGAAAGTATATTATTATTTTAATATTCAGTTTCAAGAACGGTGGCGAAAACTACTCGCCTTTTTATAGATTGCGATCGATTAGTTAGCAATAGTCGGCGGTTCTTATTCAAATATTTATAGTTTTGTCACTGCGAGTTTTTTTAAGAATACACCACCCTTCTTTTTAGAATGGTTGCGAAAAGTTAATCTCCTTTGTTCATTTTTATACTATTGTACCTACAAAATTAAAGATAGTAAATATCTGGCTTGGCACCACCTAAAAAAACTCTTGTTTTTTACCTTTCTATTTCCACGTTCAAATTAGTGTCTTTTTTTTTTTTTTTCTCTTCATTATTTATCAATCATGGGATCAATCGGTTATGTTAGTTGGCCCACCAAGTGACTACCATACACCTACGAGTCACTAAAACCAACAACCTGCATTTTCCAACAATATACTATGCCATTATTATTTTTAATGAGTTAATTCCATTTTTATCCTAAATTTATAGGTGATAGTCTATTTTTAGTTTTTTTTTTTTATCAGAACATCCTCATTTGGTCCTAGTATTGTTGTGGCATGAAGATTTTTGGTCCTCCATAAAAAAAAAAAATTATTGAAATGTCATTAAATACAAGAACATTTCAATTGGTTTTAATTTATACAAAGTAGGTTGACCCGTTATATTTTTTATGTTTATTTTTTGAAAAAAAAAATCAAAATTGAAGACTAAAATGCTCTTGTACTTGACGAAATTTAAAGTGTTTTGTTGATGAAGGACTAAAAATGATGTCATAATAATTTTTTGGAAATGGTGATGCCATAATAATACTAGGATTATAAGTGGATGTTTAAAAAAATGACTAAAAATGGACTGTCACTTATAAATTTAGGACCAAAAATGTAATTAACACTATTTTTTTTAATTATGAGATCAGAAAGAAATAAAAATATATAAAACTTAATTTGGTGGGAAATCTTTTCTACAGATTATTAGGCATTTGTCAATATATACGAAATTGCACGTGCACTTCAGAGAGGCGTAAAGATGATATTAGAATGTGTAGAGTCTAAAAGAAGAAAGAATGGTCCGAATTGAAGTTGCGTGTCTCACTAGGTGTACTGGACAGAAGCAACATAGACGGAACAAATGTGGGGCAGCCACACTTGATGAAACTATTCTTCCAAAGACTGAACCCCAACTCTAAGGGTCCCCACACTCCGATCCGGCAGAGCATTTGAGACAGTTGATGAAACTATTGACTTGGTAACTAAAGGTTGATGAAACTAATTGATTTGAATTGAGTCACTCAGTTATGAAAAACTTAGACTGATTTACCTCCTTGTGGTTGTTTGTCGTCTAAGATTACAAAGCATTATTCAATATACACACATTGTACCCTCAGATAATATATCTACAAGTTTCTCTAGTTACTAAAAAAAAAGGACAGACAAATGTAAAGGAGCTGAGGAAAAAGATGCATGGAATAACAAGCTAAGCTTAGCTTTACTAGCAGTGAGCATCGATCTGGGCATGCATTATATTCTTGGAGGATTGGAGTGCATTGAAGGATAAGAATAATTTTGCTTTCTTTAGCTTTTTGATTATCTGATAGGCATTTTGATTCTTCTCCTCCATCTCTACTCCAAATGCTATTATATATAAGTGATGTTTTGGTGACTGATGATATATATATATGTATCAATCTTAGTCATAAACCGTCACAAACCACCCTCAGCTCATTTTCCCCTCAAGTAGCTAATTAATCATATATATTCTCCACTCAATATGGCAGCCCAAACAAGTGTACTTGTATCCCAGAGAAGAATTTCACAACCGACAATGATGCTCACATCACTAAGCAGCCAACCTGTTGATGAGAGTATAATCAGGGAACAGGTTTTGTCGATTCACAACTATGATGGTAGAGAATTTAACACCAACTCCATTTTGAGCATGGCAGAAAAGGCTCTCAGCCTTGAAATGGTTTGTCATTCTACTTATTACTTCATGATATCTTAAAACTACTTTATGTTTGACTTTACCTACGACCAAAAATAGTTAGATTGTGGTCCTATACAACTAATGCTTGCATAACAATATAATGGTTTGAAGAAGGCATTGGTTTTTATTTTTTAAATGAAAAATTTATGTACTATGGGGATCTGCAGGGTACTGCTCAAAAAGCTATGGTGGAGGAGTTGAAAGAACTAGAAGAGCTCGATAGTTACAAGCAACTTCCACTTCATATCAAACAACTTTCATTCGAGGTGTGATTAGATTCTTGGGATCATATTGGGGCTATATATAATAGATGACCAAAATGTGTATAGTAATGTTTGCAATGACTGATAGGATGGCTCTATTATATTTTTGGTCATTTAATTTTCAGATAGCTTCCGGTGCAATTGCAAATCGACACTCCACCACAATTCGTGTACTCAGCATTTTGTCTCCATATTCATGGGAGGATAAGTTAGTCCTTATGATTGCAGCTTTCTCCATAATTCATGGAGAATTCATCCTTATTTCACGACTACTGCAAAAAGGCAAAGGATTAGCCTGGAAGTTGGCACATCTGAAACAAACTAGTCATTGTCCAATTCCAACACCATTATCCTCCGACAATAACAACCAAAGAGAAATTGAGGATTGCTGCATAATTAGTTCAGCCATAGAACTGACAAAATGTGTGGTTGAGCTGAAACAATGGCTATCTTACTCCCCTCCGCAATCTGTAATTTCGGCCTTGCCAATGGTTGCCTATTGGATAGGCAGAAATGTTGTTAACTGTGCCGCCTATCCCTGTGACCCTCACTTCAAGTAAGAATTAAAGTTTTGATATATTCATTATTAGTTAATATCAATATAGTGTACTATTAGTATGTATTCTTGGTTTTAGTCGGTTAGTTATGGAAAATCTGTATTATATAATCTCTCTATATAGTCCTTTACAGATGCGACTAGGGTCACAAGATAATATTTACTAGGGTCACAAGTAAGGTTTACCTAGTACATACCTTCTGATAGTACAATGCCTCATGACATTGCATAGAAAAAATTACATGGCAAATCTCTAAGAGACTAGACAGCCTCATGAACTCTCATATGTGATTCCGTAAGACGAGTCTAATTTTTCATAAGCATTATATTTTCTTTCATTAGTTACAATCAATTAATTTATTTATGATTAATATTATAATTAATTTTTTTTATAAGTAACTGTTCAATCCATAAATATTACTGATCTATACATTTTTTTTAATTTCTAATTAGTATTACATTTTCACAGCATAAGTATTATATTTTCTATCTCGACCCATCTCACAAAAAATCACCCAAAATTACATAATGTACTAGCTTATTATTATTATTATTATTATTATTATTATTGTTGTTGTTGTTGTTGTTGTTGTTACAGGGTTCAAAATGAACATAGGGAAATAACCACCTTAATGGCTATTTTCTCTACAGAACTAGGTTAGTTGATTTTATATATAACCCGGTTGCCAAATACTTACGCATTTGATTTATTTATTGAAGATTATATACACACACATATTAATACATTGTTTTTTCATATGAATATATGCAGCAAAGAAAAAGGAGGAAGAATCTTATGAAGCATTGCGAAATGCATTATATCACGACACTTCTAATAATTTAGAAGTTTTCAAATTAATGTTTAATGTTAAAGATGATGATGAGATGATATCTCGTGGGTCGGTAAGGTTTTGAATCTAAACAGCCATATATTTCTATCAATATAATTCCATACTATTACTACAGCAGTACTACATACTGTTTTTTTTTTTTTTTTTTTTTTTTTTTTTTTTTTTTTTTTAAAGTAAATCATTGAACTAGATTTGTTTAATTGATTATAATATATTTGGATTTACTAGAACTATTATATTTCATCTAACTAATGTATGTAATGTAAAATTTAAAATTGTACTACAATCTATAGGAGTCCCTCTCACTTTCAGAGGTTAATTTCATATTGTCAATGGTAAAACTCGATCCTTAAGTCATTATTCTCATAATTCACTCTTGTGATCAACTGAACTGTCGTGCGAGCAATCATATCCTAATTATTATTTCTATTATGGTACGGTGTGTATACACAATTGGGTGGAGTTTTTGGCTAAGGGAAGATAATTGATTGGGTTAAGAATTATTAGCTTAGGCTTGCATTCCATTCTTATATACATGTTAATATTTCTGTTTATATGTTAGGCATTAAGGGATTGGGAAAAGAGATTAGTGATGCTGCTAATAACATCAGGTGTTGGCGTCCTTGAAGAATGGATTCATTTTTTAAATTGGTTTGACTTCAACTCAAGAGCATATATTATTTGGATCCCAATCACACAGGATGATGCATCATGGAGCACTGAGTATGAGCAACAATGTCATAAAGTAAGAAACAAGATGTGGTTCTATTGGTTGAATGATCCACAAAAAAGGATGAGGCCACAATTCACAAGATTTGTTAAGGAAGAGTTGTTTAAAATGAGATGGAGAGAGGAACCCATAATTGTTTCACTTGACCGACGAGGAAGAATTGCTCACTCAAATGTCATCCACATGATGCTCACCTGAGCCCCTGATTATATTCAACAAGATACAATAGGGGTAAAGATTGTTCCACATAAGATAAGTCTTATCATACAAAACGAGTTGAAGCAAGGGATTTACGGCATTGAAACAAGTTCGGAATCCCGGCATGTGGGACCTAAAATTGACTCAATCACAAAGGATTTGGTACGTAACATTGATTCACAGATAAATGCTTGGAAAAGGGATGTTGAAGGCATAATTGAAGAAGTGGTACACTACTACCTTCTACTTTTTGATTCATTTATACCGTATTATCATATATTGTTCTTTTTCTTTCAAGATTGCAGCTAGCAATATAAGCATTTTATAACATTAATTAATTACCATATTTTCATTTATCATCAGACAGCACAATCTACTCCGTATGACAGCGAAAGGGAGAAACTTTTGTGGCAACAACAAACTGCTTGGACTCTTCATCTACTGGCACCACAATCTGGCTACTATTATAGAATTGTCAACCCAATAAATGATTGGGTAACCCCACATTCAAGTAACTTTGTATTTTCATATATATATATATATATATATATATATATATACTTATTTATTTATTTATCAATTAGCTAATATGTTTTTCTTTAATTTTTCAGATTCGTGAGGAAAAATGTATTTTCTTATATGGAGGAAACAACATTAAATGGATTCGAGAATTCATTTTCAAGGTACGTGAAGTTGCCTCCAAAATCCAAATGAACTTTAAGTTGGCCTACATTGGGAAAAACAAAATGATAAGAGAAATCATTAATAAAGAAAGAATGAGTCATTGCCCATTGTATGATTCTAATGCACTATGGTGGTTTTGGGCCCGTCTTCAAAGTATGTTTTTGTCAAGAATTCAATTTTTAGAGATGACTAATCACCTTGTCAAAGAAAACAGCAATGATGAAATTTTGCAAGGACTCAAAAAATTATTGTCCTATGAAAACAATAATGCAACAACTGAAGGATGGGCCTTGTTAAGCAAAGGATCAGAAGTGGTTGTATGTGGACATGGAAGTAAAATGTTGCAAGCCATGAATAACTACGAGATTTGGAAGGAAAACATAGATGCCACCAAAAGTTTTGGCCAGGCATTCAAAGACCACCATGAGATGCTTTCCAAGGATAAGCATTCTTGTTGTACCCTTGAATATCCAATTAGCTTGAGCAAAATTCCTGAAAATGAAAGATGTCTTGAATGCTCTCGCCGTATGCAAAAATTTTTAACTTTCACTTGTTGCCATGATCCCGATGTTGATTATGATAGCGATGAGTAGTACTTCATGGTGTATTCGATTTTTATAATTTTATTGAACTCAATGTTTATTTTCATTAACTTACATTTTTATTTTAATTTAACTTTTAGCTATTTTTGGATTCTATATATATAAGGTTACGTTATGTATTAGCTTAGTGAGTACTACGTACATCAACAGTAACTTGTTGAATAATTAAAAATTAAGACCTAATTACAATATTTTGCCATTTAATTAAGATATTTCAGTCCACGGTTCTCTATTTAGTTAGCAAACCAAATTACACTATTAAAGGGAATTATTGATCTTTGACACTTTTTTTCTTATTAAAAAAAGTGTTAATTTCATTTTTTATTTCAATTATACTACAGGTCCATTTAACAATATACATTATTAAATGAGTTTTATTTTTAAATTTTGTTTTTTCGCATACACTAGTTTTATTAGAACAACACTAATTAATTTTACTATATTTTTATTTGACGATCATGGTTCACATAGCACTGTGTCGATCATAGCCCGTACTGTATACCCAAGTACTGTATACCCAAGTTACCAACTGTTTACTTCTGTGTATTGTGGACTCTGGTTCAATACACATAATTTGACTTTATAATGTACAGAATTCATGTTCATAATGTACATAATTTATGTTCATAATATACATATAAATAAACACAATATAATGAAGATACATAATATACAGAATTCATATTCATAATGTACAAAATTCATGTTTATATGTATGTGTTTTATGAACATAACTTCTATTCTACCAAAAAAAAAAATAAACATAACTTCTGTGCATTATGAATCTGAATTATGTAAATTATGAAATCAAATTAGTAACGATTGTACACTAATGCTCTTGGTGAAAATCAGCCCTCTAGAATAGCAATCATTATAAGAGTTCACTCTTCTTTTCTTTTTTTTTGTGTTTAACATATGTATATTTATTTATTTATTTTTTGAAAGTTACTGGCTCTATTACATTGTAGTATCTGTTCATATACTTTCTCAACCTACTGAAACACAAAGAACCAATAACGCCTCCACTGAGGCTCGAACTCATAATCTTCCAAATGGAAGTCCAACCCGGGTACCATTGGACCACATAGTCCTGGTATATGTATATTTATTTAGTGTAACTGGAGTCCAATTTTAATATATTATCTAAAAATAAATTTATAATATATTAAAAACTTGTATCAGTGACTTACCTGCAACGCGAACCAAGGTCCACAATATAATTTACCTTAAATAAGGTGCAATAAGTTCAAGTCAAATTCAAACACTTACAAGTTTCAAACTTGACTCAAGGCTCATTAATTGTGAAAATAATTTTTAAGGCTTTTTTTTTATAGGGGTATTTTAAAGGATATCTAAATATATTTTGATAAAATTGTACATAATATTATAAATATATGGGTGAAGTGTCAAATCGCACCATGAACCAATTGCGATATGTCATGCCACATCCTAATTTTTCATAACTGCTGATTTGATATACAAACTAAAAAAAATTGTCCGCCTAGTCATTTTTACAGGTTTCCCTGTTGCCTTGATGACATGGCGCCAGTAAACTGCTTGGAGTTATTTTTCTGTGAGAATAAGCTTACTCGATCAAGAAGTTACTTTTTCATATCTTCCTCCGCCGCCGCCTTTGCTACTGCGATTCGCCTCTGTACGTCTGCTATTGGCATTCGCCTCTGTACGTCGACGAGTCTCCGGTGGAACACGAAACCCATGGTCCCATTATTTGGCGAGAACCTGACGTGTAATTGTTGGGAAACATTTAGTAGGACACGACACAGAAACCTCTCTACAATTACTATACACTGCCTAACAGCCTACATCCCACTCGACATTGTTGTTCTTCTGCGAATTCTCCAACAGTAATTTCAGCAGCCAAATCTTGAGGTTTATGGTTCAAATCGGCCATAGCTATGTTTGCCATAGACGTTCAAACAGGGAGAAAACGAGTTAGATCAAATTATAACTCAATGAAATGCTAAACTCGAAAATATGTTAGGTAGAGAAAGAAGTAATACAAAGTTGATTGCCATAGACGTTCAAACAAACAAGCTATAAACATTCACTGATCTCAATGGGTTCAGAGAGAAGCAAAATAATAACTTGCAATGGCGTGACTCTTTTCTATTTTCTTGTTCAGCTGCAGAATGGAGATGCAATCAACGATGTTATCGGCAGTGAAAATTAGGTAGCTCGATTGATGTGGGAGATTACAAAATAGGTGGACAATGGCGGTGTTAATGGCGATTTTACGGCAACGATGGAGTAACTCTGCCACCACCGCGGCCACCAGCATCTGCACCTCGGAAGGGAAAGCTAAATCAAGAAAATCAATTTTGGAGGCAACCGTACCTTTCATTCAGCAGTCCTGAGCATGGGCGTTTATTCGGCGAGAACCTGACGTTTAATTTCAGCAGCCAAATCTGATGCGATTTGGGTTTGAGATTAGGCTTGGGTTTCAGTTGTGGAATGAATGGCTGGAATAGGATTGGATTAAAGTCAAATTTTGGCCGGGTTATTCAATTTAAGTGCTCAAATAGCTGTCACATTTGCAAAACAAAACACATCTGTAAACAAAGAAAATTGAATTATATTTAGAAATTCAAAATTCTGGGTTACATGTCAAATATCAAATGCGATGTGGATAGAAGTCTCTGGATGGTTCTCTGATTTTTTAGTTTGATGCATTGAACACTCCACCATTGAAGGGCCTCCGGGTTTCAAGTGGCTTGATCTTCAAAGAAGGGCTTGTATATATAGTTTGTTCTTCTGGAAGGGCCTCCGGGTTCAAATGACTTGATCTTCAATGAAGGTTTGGATCAACAGGCATGATTGGATTGGATGAGGGACCTTTTACTTTCAGGAACACATTTTCATTGTGATCTCTGAATAATATATATTTCTAGATGTTTACATGATTTTTCCTAAGATTTGTGATTACATGAGATGAGAGCTCCTATTTATAGTTGTGGGATAAAAGAGTTTTGATAAGGTCAAACTCTTTTTATATTATCTAATTAAACAAATTAGATAATATTAATATTATCCAAAATATTTTAAATATATTCAAATATACTAATATTGATAAATAATCAATATTTATCAAAATTTAAGTGTGTACAACATCAATGCCAAATCACCTCCACATCACCAAGTTATTACCTATAACTTGAAGGCAACCTGTAAAAAAGGTTAGACGAACAAAATTTTTTAGTTTGTGCATCAAACCATCACTTATAAAAGATTATGGTGCGGCATGATATATAGCAATTGGTTCATGGTGCGATTTGGCACTTCACCCTAAATATATTATATATTAAACTTTTTTTTAAAAAAAAAAAAAAAAAAAAAAAAAAAACTGTGCATTTATTCTATTTCAAAACTAAGAGTCTACAAGCATACGCCATAGCCCCAAAAGTGGACTATGGCTCAAATCAAGTCCTTGGCCATTTCGGCCATAACAAAACAAAACAACTATCTCAATATATACAAGAGGTGGCCCAAAAGTGACCCCCCAATCAAAGTGTAGAGCTCCCAACCATCTAAGTCTACTATATCAAAATCAAAGGCCAAAATGGCTCACAAAAGAGATCAAAAGGTAAGTTCAAGCCTTGAAAGCCCAACCCTCACTAACACATCCACACACCTCGTCTGTAATAGGCTCCCCGTCCCACACAAGTGATGGGAACGATGCCTAAGCTCATGGAGATCCAACTATCCTATCCTATCCCTACTACCCTCAAGTCAAAGACCCATCCCCACCGGCACGGCGTACCGTGTTTTAATCCCGGGGGAATTTCACGGGTCCCAGCTTAAGCGGTAGCACTCACCTCCTTCCACCCTCGTGCCCAAGACCAACCTCCATCGGCATAGCGCACTATGTTTTACCCGGGGAGGCTTTTGAGGTCCCGACAGGAGCAATGGATCCCTCCCCCACCACCCTTAGGCCAAAGGCCGACTCCCACGGCACGGCGTACCGTGTTTTAGGCCCGGGGAGCCTTTGCGGCCCCGACCTAAGCAATGGGTATCCACTATCTCACCCCTCCCTTCTCTTTTCTTATCAAAATTCCTTTTCTTTTGCTTTTTCAAATCCACTTCTTTTCTTGCCTTTTCCTCATTTTCCCCTTGTTTCGCCCTCCTCCAAATTTCCTTACATTTCTCTCATTTTCTTTTAAACCTATGGATCCCCTCAAGCTAAAAGCACTCCCAACTCCGAGTGTATGCCATACTTGGAGCCTATCAAGACCCCCCATTCATAGCACAAGCCAGAATGGGCTTCCAAGGCTAAAACCACCTAAGAATCTCTTCTAAAGTCAGTTTTTGCCCTAAGATACAAGATATCCACACAAAAGGGGGTCGGGAGCTCTTATAGCAAAGTACACAAGGGGGTCTTCTTCTTCAAGCTTCCACCTACCTGCAAAAAAGTTAATGGCTTCATCTCTACATTAATGTAGATCCACCAAACAACATCTGCACAGTGTTCAACTGCCAGTTCCCACCACAAGCTGATGCCCTCAGAAGCTGCCCAGCTAGCAACCCATCATCGGGCCAAAGGGAGGATGAATCTCCGCTAGCTAGCCTCATAGATTCATACTCCCTAACCTTCCAGTATGGGGAACTGACCTCAACAACTCTCAGTTGCATCATAAGCCATTCATGGTTCACCTGCATGGCCGATTATAGGCCCACATAAATGCCAGTGCAGCAGCAGTCTGCTCTTAGAACTAAGGCAGAATGAGCCTCAGCTATAACTTCATCAGCCCATTCCCCTTAGCTTATCATATGTCCAACCACCATCCTCTGCCTTGGATGGTGGAGGACCATTTGCTCATCAGACTTTCAGGTAGAGAAGGCCTCAGCTTTTCAGCTTCACTGACCCTTTCCCCTCTCTTGTTATCTCTGGGCCAACCTGATTTGGATTGGTCCAGCCTCACACCTGCTATGCCTAGCAAGGATCATCAGCTAATCCCTTTCCCAGAGCCAGTCTCAGTCAAAGAGAGCTCACATAACTCCTTCCTTATACCACCCCCACTCCTTGAACAGCAACACTT